CCGGGGTCTGAACCGACCTCCCGCGCAGCTAACCAGGCAATCCTCGCTTTGACCACTAGCTGGATTTGTGTCTCAGTCGTTCCGAGTTCACATCCTTGGCCACGCTTGTTAATAACCGACTGGTTGCCTCCTGCCAGCTGGGTATTTTATTCCTGTTGATTAAGTTGATTAATTCATTAGTAGAGGGGGTGAATAGGGCCTTGGATCGGCGGATTTGGCCTTAAAAAGCTCACGGATTGTGGATTTTGGCGATAAATCGAGCGGATTCGCGGATTTGAAAAATACCGTGGATCGCGGGTCAGCTGAAAGTTTTGGCCCGGTTTCCGGATTCTGTCAGTCTAGAAGTTCGGATTGTGGATCGGATCATCAATTTTCGGTCGGCCTTGGTCAATGTGCTGGTGTTTTGTCGACGAACGTTCCACTTCCGAGGTTTCCGGAAGAGACTTTCTCGTGACCCGACGCATATACAGTCGACTCCCGAAAACTCGAACCTTCAAGGGAAATCGAAAAAGGTTCGAGTTATCGGGACTTCGAGTTACCGGGAGGTCGAAGAAAATAGCCGAGAGTAAGGTAAAAAACAGTTTTTACTGCACAGTGAACATTTTAATCACATTTAATTGTAGAAATGTCAGGTGAAAATCAAAAGATACTTTTAGATTATAAATCAGAACGTAACGTAACAAAACATAGCCTAAATAGAGCATGCGTTTTACTGTTTTGAGAAGTACAGCCGCTTCACGTTAGCCTGTGACAATCAACATTGGCCTCCACTAGTAAACTATACTCCTTCAACACGTCAATAGGAAATCCAAAATTCAAAGTTTCGGACGCCGGTAGACGGCTTTTTTCCCGACTTTTTAAGTGCTCAAAACATGGTTCGAGTTATCGCGGGTAAAATTATATCGAAAATGACCTGAAGGGAAACGAAAATTGGTTCGGGTTAGCGGGAGTTCGAGTTATCGAGGGTTCGAATTACCGAGGGTAAAATTGCAGTGAATGTATGACGGAAATCCAGGGGAAATCGATTTTGGTTCGAGTTAGCGCTAGGTTCGAGTTAGCGAGGGTTCGAGTTATCGGGAGTCGACTGCACATGTATTCTAGTATAGACAGCGTGACGGAAATGACGTCAGGCAACCTTTACATGAACTGATATACTGTTCTTCGAAGATATTTCAGCTAGTTTGCTTGTCTTGATCGTTAACTTAATCATAGGCGTACGGGCCGGGGGGAGCGAGGGGGGCTGCAGCCCCCCCCCAGATTTTGGGTAACTCAGATTTTTTGGAGAGCAAGAGAAAATTTGGGCAAAGCCAGGTTTTAAAGACGTTTCCATGTTTTTTTTATTATTATTATTATTTTGCAGACATAAGTATTTTCTATTTTAATCTGAAAAAAAACCTGAAGTCGGCACAATAATCCAGTTACATTCTCTCGAGACATCGGTTGCCTAGCAAGTGATTAGTTTCTAGTTATTAGGGAAGGGTATCACATGTTGATTTACATATTTATAGTTTTTTCATTGTTGAGCACTGTACTGCACAGCACTGACTGGAATGGGCTCTTTCCAGTCGTGAATTGATTAGAATAAACTTCCGCATATCTTTCTAGAATCATCTCCGCTTGTAGAACAGTGTATGGCGGATAGCATCAGCAATGGGTCTGAAAATGAAGAAGTGGCTGACTATTTCTCGGTTCGATAACGGCCAAGCATCAAGATTTTCTTTTTTTACCATATTTCTAACTATGAAAACTTCATCCCAAAATATCCCAATAACACTCTCACACTTTGCGTTTTAACTTCACGAACATCGAGGCGACTATTTGACGAAAAAGCTTCCGTGAACGATTTTGTAAGAACAGTTCCCAGTGCCGAGAAATATTGCTGCAAGTAAAATAGGCAATGGCGTCATTTCGTTGCTATGACAACTCCGATGACATTGCATTCCTGATCATGACAAATTTTCATCTTTATCTAATAAAATTTTCCAAATGTTTGTCTATGGCGACGCAGTTATGCTCAGAATTGGGAGGTATTGACCCCGAAAAACTGTTTCAGTATCGAACCACCTTCATATGCCAGTACGGCCAACGCCGTTTTGCATAGTATGGCCCTCGTTTCTTTTCGACTGTACGTTTCGTAAACATTTGGGCAACTTCTGAGAATTTTTTGGGCAAATGGTTTACCGCCCCCCCTGGCAAAAAATTTCCCGTACGCCTATGAACTTAATAGACCTTTTCACGGTTTCTGTCGCCATCTTGGTAGAGGGCAAACACGGCAAAACTCGCGTCTCGATATCGTGAAGTTTTCGGTGCAATAAGCAATCTCTTAACAATTAACAATTATTCCTCGAGTCCGAATAGGCTCTGAGTCAATAGCCCATGAATTCTCTGAGATCGCGTATACCTAAACGTTACGGAGATGTTAAAGATAGCAGCAGCTATGGAAAGATTATTATATTTTTGAGTAGACAAATCTCACAAACGGGCTACAAATTCATCAGGAATACGCGCGAACTGAACAAATTAATTGTCTGTTGCACATTTTAAAGGTTCTGCTCAACTTACACAATTTTCCCTTGCTGAACAAAAACTGTACCGAGCCGTAACTTGGTGCGCTATATAGAAGCTACATCATGGTTCAAATTTTAAACTGTAAGATCCCTGAAAGAGTTCTGCTCAATATGAAAAAGGTTTTATAGGTTTCACGCCGGTGAAGATGTGCTGCCTTTCACCTCTTGGAAGTTTTTACTTTTAAATACTTATTGGTAAGCAAATTACTATGAAGTTTAGTTCTGCCTCTTCCGAATTTTGCGGCTCGACTAGAAGCACGTCCAAAGTGATGTCAGTAAGTAAATTTATTGAAAAATCTTTTACGCAATACCAGATACTTTCATTTTGCAAGCTTGCAGACTATTTGATTAGTCAAATCGGTATTGTTGGAAGAAACATTATAAGCTCTGTCCCTAATGCTTAATGTTTTGAAGCTGTAACGAAAACGTCTTAAACATGAAGTCCCGCATCTGTTGCGATTACTGAACAACTATGTTAAGTAATTCATTTTTTCATGCTACAACGCTACTTTCTATATACCACGAAAAATTTTTAAAGTAACACGGATTCGGATTTGAACAAAAATTAAGTCGGATCGACGGATCGGGCCTAAAAATACCACGGATCGGCGGATTTGCATACCCCTATTCACCCCCCTCTTTGTAAGATGATTCCAAACTACTAGTCTTCCACCATAAACAAATTTAACACAACTTGGACGGATGGGGGAGAATATTAGAATACGTATTATATACATTCAGTTGAAATAGTTTCTCGGAAAGACGGGAAAATTTTAAAGCAAAGCTCCCAGCAGGAGCCAAGTTTAACAGTGTATATTTGACCTAGATTTTTCCTAGCGAAAACAACACGGCTTAGAGATATGCATGCATCACGTCACGCCTATATAGCATCCGATCGGTTCTGAGAAAGGATGACTTCGATTCTCGTCGGGGACCAAGAGCCAAGTTCATGTAATAAGAATTTTCTTAGAAGCTCGACGGAAAAGTTCAAAGGGGCTGTGACACGCCTTCTGTTATTAACAAAAATAATAACTAAAACTTGTCTTCACACCCACTGAATTTTGAAAATAATGTTATGTTTTGTAAAATAATGTTACGCCTGTAAAAATCAGCCAAAACTATTCTTGATGAAATTTGTTTTTGATATTTTCTTCATAGCTCTACAGGAACATTTTGTGTATGGGTTAAGGCCCTAAGTTATGACTTACGCACAGAATTGACCTAAAACAGTATAAATATATCCTCTTGACACAGCCCCATTAAAGCGGAACAAATAATTTAAACATTTCCGCTAGAGAGAGACGCAACATGCTTCATGGCACGACAAAAGCATTTCATTGGGCTCCTTTTCGTCAAATAACTCATGTTTTCTCATCTCCATGCTCTTAATATATCATTTAACATTCAGGCTTTCTCAATTCTGCATTGGCCTAACATTTTGCGATTAACCAGTGTTGGCGCCCCAAGTGGTAGTGCCACTGAATCTCGTAAGAGACCTGCCTTCCCGGCCCGGCTACTAACATAACTGAATGAATACTATATCCCCTATTACGCAGCACCAACAGATTTCGATTTTCTAGTGGGGTGGACATTGCACTGAAGAATGGCTGGGATCCACATCTTAATACGTAATCAGTAACAAGATGAAATAAGGTTTCACTTGGCTTGGGACAAACCTAATTAATGTTGCGTGACCATAAGACTCAAAAACAGTCTCAAAATTCAAGTACAATTAATAGTCAAGCTTGTTGACTGTTGAGATTTTGGAAAACTATAAACTAAATACAATGAATTGAACAAATTATGGCTGTCTATTAAATCGTGTTTGGCAGCATGACCAATTTACACCTAGATTTATATTTTACATCACAATTGAGTCTGTCGTCTGTAGCTGTGCATACTATTCACGCAAGGTTTAACGTGTGGTAAGTCACGTATAGATCAACATAAACAACTATATAAAGGGCGGGATAAACTCACGAGCAGAAGTCACTAATTTAGTGAGTTACAAATTCTACAAAGAGAGTTAAACGAGTCTTTTCTTCAACAAGCCTGTCTGTCCTCGAGAGGACTAAAGTGTTTAAGGTAAGAAGCCGAATTGCATGTAATACATGTATCAAGGCTAAGTATAATAATTTTGCCAGTTGATTAAACTGAAGATTACTAATGGTTGATCTTATCTGTAGAAACACAGGCAGCCCAAGCACACTATGTTTGGGTTCGGGCTTCAGAGGTCATTTGGTTGGAATATACTTGAATTATTAGTGTATTATCTGATGCCAAATAAGTGGAAAAATCTTAAAGATATGAAGTCTTCTGGTTTGTTTATCTGTACTAGTAGCCTTTAAGATAACGAAGTTCGAGATTTCTTGCATTATTATTATCTCAGGTTGATCGACGATTACTGCACGCCAACCAGTTAAGAATACTGCCATGGACCTGTTCACCAAGGTGCTCACCAGGGCTAGGGACTTCGCCAAATCCAAACCCGGATTATTTGGCCTGCTGTCCGACAACACTATCACGGTAAAAAATCTTCTCTTCTCCGCTGTTGTGGTGGGGTTGCAGCAGCTACTGAGCTCCGAACTTTTCGATTGTCCCTTGGAAAATCACGTGTGTTATGGCGTCATGTTCCTTGTGACCCCATTCTCCATAGTGCTGATCATGAACATTCTACTAATTGGAGACGTATGGAAGGTTACCGATAGGTGTTGTGTACCATACTATAAAAGAAAGTTTGATTGTTTACGTCTTATTCCCAACATCTGCAAGTCCTTTGTTGGTCCTTTTGTCTGGCTGATAGCATCTTTTGTGGACGGCAAGTACGTCGCGTGCTTCATGGTTGGTCAGGACATCGAGAAACGAAATCTTACCGACGACATGGAAATTGAAAAGTTGGAAGAGGAATTCGCAAAAGCCAAAGCCTGGTCGCATATTTTAGCCTGGATTGCCTTTTTGTGTTTGGTTCTTGGAATCGCTGTAATAATGACTATAAAGAAGTGTTACTTTAAGGACAATATTCTTTGGGAAGGTACAGTTTAGAACTTTTAAGGTGATATAAATCCCTAGAGCGTTTGGGTTAAATAATTATGAGACGTTTTTTTTTTCGGGAATATTACGGGAGGTACTTCTCGAAAATCTGAGGCTCCGTATATCGCACCCGGGATTTCCTTAACAACAATTACTTCATTCTCTCTTGTTTTAAACTGATTACAAGGTTTTTTGTGACATTAATGTAACTTCGTAAGTCAGAGTGGCTGTTACAATTGGTTGCCACTCCTCCCAAGCGCCCCCCCCCCCAACTTGCGTCATCGAATGACCTTCACTTACGTGCGTGGGTTTGCCTACCACCAGCGCCCATAGAGACCAACCAGTAGAACATCCTATGTTAAATTGGACCGGGTTGACGGAAAGTGGCGCCCTATGATCCACTGATTGCCAAAAGGGCTGATTTTTAATAGTAACTACTTTTCGTTGGTTGTTAGGCAAACTATGATGATCACGAGTTGTCAATTTATTACACTTAATAATTAAGGCCATTTTTATTCCCATTCTCTTTGCGTAATGGCATAACGCGAGCGGTCACGAGTCGTTCTTTTCTCAGAGCCAGGCGCGGGGAGCAAAGAAGTAAAATTATGCAAATAAATGGTAAAAGGAGGGGAGATTAAGGAAGTAAGAGAATTCTCGCAGCCTTGTCGTGTAAGTAGGTTCATGTACACGTTATGATCATTGATATTTTTTGTCATTATTTTATTCTCTTTAGACCAATACACCCTTGATCGGCGAGAAGCAGTAGCGGCGATGTTGACCTTCCGTGATTTTATAGAACATCCTAATGAGCACGATGACGAGGAAACCGGAACAAATGAAGCCGGTACCGCGGCGCAAGCAGGGGCAGGTCCTCCTATTGCCACCAGTTCAAAACCCGTGATTAAATCAGCTCCCGTTGTTAGTGATTCGGCTGGAGCAAGTGCAACGGCTATCACTGCTCTTTCCACTGACACCGAGGGAAATCGCAGGAAAGATAAGACAAAAGACGAGACTGATGGGAAACAAGTTAAGATAAGTCTTTGGAAGAGAGCGTGGCGCTGGCTTAGAGGAAATGAAGAGAAAGGTGGGCAAAACGACGACGCCGAAAAGGAGAAGGAAAAAGGCATCACAGGTCGTTTTATTGGCAAAGAGGAGAAAATTACAATTTATCCTGAAGGCATTCCTGAGCAGAGAGGTAAAAAGTTTGTTGAAAAACTGTTTGTTGGCCGGTCGAGCAACCTCGACTGGGATTACCGTGAAAAGTATGACTATTTCAAAAACGAGTACCCGCGGGTTACAACTGGGAACCCAAAAGACCCATGGGTTCGGCATGACAAGACGAAGGACAAAGTTGATTCTCAGAAAGATCCCCGAAATTGTTTCCCTTCAAATACACGAGGTATCGAGGCGACGTCTTCCGTTTAAAGACTTAACTGAAGAGAAACTGGTTTGGAAAGTTCATGTATAGGTAGCCGGTTCACAGGCCTTTGGTCGAGCGGGAAACTGTGCCTGTTCACAGAATAATATATAGGGCTTCACTTTGTTGTATATTAAATAATTTGAACTTTCAATTTCCAACGTGGTTCCCGATTACCCCTAAGTTCTTAGTGAGGCAGCTTGCCTACATGTTAGCCGGTTCCAGGCTCCACGTTAGTGGGGAAACCTGATCGTGCGCGAAAACTGCGTTGAGGACTGGGGAGAGACGGGTGCCTTCTCTCCTCCCACCCATTTTCGTTCGCCCACTTTTTTGGCTCGTTTTCACTAACCGAGAGACTGGTGCAGGCTACCTAAGTGTATGAATTGTATTTACTTATATTACTATTTATGTACAGCCCGCCTCCCCTCACAAAATCAGGGAGGGAAGGGAGTGGCTGTACACAGGCTAGGAAGTATCCAGCTAGCTCGTGCTCCTTACCTGGTGATCCCTAAAGATATTTTTAGTAGCAGAACTAAGGGCGAGAAATTCACATTTCATTTAGCGTTTTATCGCCTGCGTAGACGGCGGGATCGTTGGCGCGAGAAAGGTTTTTTTTCTTTTTTTAACAGCTTTATTGGGTTTCCGTATACAGAATTACACTAAAACTTTTACAAAGAAAATATAAAAGATTAAAAAAAAAAAAAAACATTTATACCCAAAGGGGCAAGCACGTACGGGACCAAAGGACCCATGCCAGGTGCCGCCCCAGGAAGTTAAAAGAGAAAAAAAAATCTTCTTTAAAAAGCCGTGAATACATAAAGATATCAGCATGATATATGAGTATCAAAAGGGAATATAAGGTGTGCGCTATGAGCGATGGCATGCGCAAGCAGTCCTACAAGTGACCAAGTGCACGAGCGTTCCACATCAAATGTTGTTTGCAGAAGGATTGGCAGAGGAGTTGTGAAGCCGTGCGGAAAATGGGGAGGAGAGGCTTTGAATTTTCTACGCGCCTTCGCCGCAAAAACTCTCACGCGCATAAACTTAATGGTCTGGGCCGCAGACGACATTCTAAACTTTATAATAGTCTAGACGATGCGTGTGCCGGCTGCAACGCAGGCTAAATATCAATTCCCCCAGCTACGCAGGCTAAGCCTTTTTCCCTAATTTTTTTTATGAATTTACCCAGATTTTATTTTCTTGAAATGTTATCAGATTTGGACAATTTAATACAGGAAAAATGGCTTAACAAATTCGGTGCCAAATTTTGGTTCTATTAATGGATATATTTAAAGACTTTTTCAAACCTGATCCTTATAGGATCTCAAAACTGAAAAACTAAAGCAAATGTGCATCAAATCGAAGCTGTAACTTGCAAATTTGCATTAAATCTAAAGTAAATGTGCATCAAATCGAAGTTGTAACTGCGATGTCCATCGCAGTGTCAAACATGTTCTAAAACGAACGCCAGAAAAAATAGCAGACGCAGCTTACATGAACCGTGAACTTAACACATCCGTGCTTTTAACCGTGAAAACGCGTGAAGGAAGTTGATCTTTTACAGTACAGCAAAGCGTCTTTAAAACTCGCTACCAACAAGCAACATGAAAGAGTAAATCTAACTTCAATAGAGGTAGCTTTAAAACGGCATTTATTGTTACAATATCTTATCAATAGTAACGAACTGACATGCATATGGAAAATTTTTCTAGTTAAATTGTTCCACGACAGAATAACTATAATGTCTTTGTTGGTTATTAAAGAAATTTTATACATCGTTAGATTAGTTTTGGTATAATTCTATTCATTAGACAGTTTATTACATAGATTTAAGCTGTGTAACGTTGTCAACATTACAATAAAGTTCTATTACGTTGTGGATGACCATCAACCGACGTCTTTTTGCGGCAGTGTGCTGTTAAATAGGCTAGCCAACATTTTCGTGCGGCCGCAAAACGCCGTTTTTGACAAGATTATCTTTAGTCATAGCCATGGAAAAGCCAAAACCCTTAAACAAAGTGACTGTCACTTGTATAAAGAGTTTATGAATCCCTTGTTAAAACAACCATTAGTCGGAGCAGCTGTGAAATTTCCGCGCGCAAAAGACATACAGCGCGCGACAAGAATGGTGGGTCAGCGGCGGGAACTTACTTTAAGGCAACTTCGTCCCCAGGGTCGTCGCCTCCCGCAACAGGAAAGAAGAAGGGTCTTGTATCCAGGGTCACAGGATAAGATCCCGTCGGCCTAAACCCCTTTAGCTTGCGATCAGGCTCACTGAATGTGCGAATCTGCCCTTGCGAGATGGCGGCTCCGTCGCCAAAATTGTTCACCGAACTCGCAGAAGTGAGCCCGCTCGCGGGTAAAAATCCCTTTGTCACCTTATGAAGTTTACATAACGGAGTATCTCTACCGCTTCTATACTACAGAAGATGAAATTTGATGATTTTACTACAGTAGATGAAATTTCTAAGTTTCTTGACATTTCTGCTCAGGAAATGTTCATGAAAGTGTAAGTCTCTTCAATTTTTAAGGGAAGAAAATCAGAAGAGCCAAAGTAAGAATCGAACCTGTAGCGTGGTGTTTGTAGTCCATCACCTACATCACTACGCCGCTGAGGATTTGCTGACGGGTATTGGATTGATTTAAAGCTATATAGCAACAACCCTAACCATAAATACAAGCTAACTTTTGAGAGTAAGTGTTTAACCCCAGTCACTATTATCAGTGCTTAACCCTAATCAGTATTGTTGCTTAACCCTAAACCGAAGCGATAAGGAACACTAGGTTGTGTAAACTTCATAAGGTGCCGAAGGAGGTTTTGGCCGATGATGGGATCTAATCAGCTAACCTCTTTCCTGCAGCCAACCCCGTTCCCAGGGTTGGAGAGAAAGAACCCTGGCTAAAACGGAACCACCTGAGACGTGAGTATTCTAACATGTTCAACAACTACTGAGGTCCGCTCAGCAAGTCCAACACACAACGCACATGGTCGCCCGTTTTCGGGGCGTGCATGCAAGTCAGTCAGGGGCCCCGGGAAAGGGGGATCCCAAAAGGTTTCAGTGTTACAACAGTGTCGAAGAGATCAGCCGAGTTGGAATCCAGGCAAGCCTGAAGTTGCGTCTTTAACTGCGATCATCTCTTTATATGCATTTATTTCTTCATTCCGTGGTTCCAATTAGTAGGAAATACAACTGCAGAACTTACTGCGAACGAACACAAATTTTGGCACCACATTCTTTCGGGCTCCAAGAATTTCTATCGATACAAAATGATTAGAAACCATTTTGACAAGTTAAAACAAACTCTACAAAATACCTGTCCATTAACAGTAGGGGATGAACAGCGAATAAGCAAACAACCGTAAAATGAAATGGTGGCATGTTTTAATTTTAAATATTATATAGACACGAGTGTTTTACTGGAAAATATAGCACTCCAGGTGGTAAAATTCATAAAAACTACATCCGGGACCCGAGTGGTTTATTTTCCGTAATCTCACACGTGAGTTTATCGATGAAGTAATTTCGGTAATTTCCCTCTATTATTTTATCGATGTCTTTTTGTCTATATAATAAAAAGAACATTACACGGCGGCTTGAAGATATGAATTTTATTTTCTCGTGGCAAAAAACAATATTTTACTCACTCGCTGCGCTCGTTCGTAAAATATAGTTTTGCCACTCGAACAGCGACGCGACGCGACGCGAAGCTCTGACTCGTTGCTATGTGACGTCACACTGTCATGATGACTCGGTCACAGACAAATACCCGAAAACAATAGAGACGCCTCGTCCCTCCTGCACTCGAAAAAAAAATTCATATCTTCGCGCCGCCATGTAATGTCGTCTATTTAAAGTTTGAATCAGAGTACAGATATAATTCAGTGAAATACAAATTAAACGTCTTTATGTGCCACACGCGAATTCTTCTAATATTAATAGCTATAGTTAACGTCTTCGAGTAATTTTACTCCATAGTCACTGAGCGAAAGTGGTTTGTCTGTGTAATCAGTCTGATCATCTTCATTATCATTCCATGAAGCACATGGCTTCTGCTAACAAGGTTTTGCTACAACCCGCAATCTGAACATATCTCATTCTTTAGTGTGTTTGGCTTCGTACCGTACCTTATTCATCCTAAAATTTTCAACACTTACGATCGGGCGTTTATTCGAAGGCAGCGTTCATTTCATCACTCAGGGTAAATATTAGAGAGATTAAGAGCTGTTACGTTTACCACAAACGACAAAAGTCAGATTCATGCTGAGAATTTCTCAGAATAGAAAATAAGCAGATAAAAACTGTACAGAACCATTCTTATGGATAAAACTGGCATGAAACTACTTATTTTCAAGTAGAAGTAAAAAATAATAAAAGACAATTAAGGGGAAAACTTGGCCACGTGGTACAAATTTACGTTTGCCGCGAGTTGCGTTAGCGTGACTCTTAATCTCTGTATGATATGTAAAACAGAACTTGAGATGTTAAAATGTCTCCTTTTTTGTTAAGATAGAATCGTAGTTGTCTAGATTTTTCTTCTTATCTCCTAATAAAGGCCGCATTTTTCTAAACTAGACTGCAGCGTTTAATCTTGCCTGCTTCGCAGACGCTCTAAAGCTTCTGTATAGAGGACCATACAAATGGTTTAGACGAGTGCGTGGGCCGGTTGCAACGCAGGCTACGTTGAACCGAGTGGCGTTTATTACCGCTAGCTACGAAGGCTAGGTTCATTGGTAATTTTGTTTCTATCTGCGGCGGCGCTTAATCGAGTGCAGCCGGTTTATTCGAGAGTGGCGTTCTCCTTTACTTCATCAAGCTGCCGATCACCTTGACAATATTATTTATTCTGTGTGGGACCACCTTTTTGATTAAAAGACAGGCCACGTAAATAAGTTTGCTTAAAGACATTATCGGCCACCTCGACGATCTAATTGAAAAAGTAATGTCGTTCAAAAACCCACACGGCTGTCATAAGTATTGTAAATGAAAAACAGCTAACTACATTTTGTTAAACTGTAATTGATCTTGTACTAGTAACTCTAGTCGTTTGTGGAAGATGGAGATGATAATCGCCAGGATGTTCCTTGGGGTACTACTTACTCTCTTGCTGGCTCCAGGTATAGTTACATTAATTGATTTTCCCTTTTCAGTACTCATGTGATAAAATCGAACGGTGAAGTGCCGTTCTAAAGAATTTTCCTCAAGGGCATGAATTCCTTCATGATTTAATGAATTTTTCTTTCGATTTTTTTTCCTCCATTTCTTTTTTCAGGTTACAAGTTAACGAAAGGTCAGTCAGAAGAATTGTGTCTAGTAAACACTTAACACAACTTTTTCTATCTACTTGACATTTTGAATATGGGTATTAGAAAAACATTTTTACATTTTAGGAGATTGTTCAGGCAGAAAACTGGACATTGCCATTCTTGGTGATAAGTCCAGAAGTTTAAAACCTGCAGACCTTGGGACGCTGCGAAATGCCATTTACAGCATTGTGAACAGACTAGGAGTATCCCCTGCTGGAAACCATTTTGGTATGAACTAACTTGAAAGAATAGGCAGCTGATAGTTAAGTTGTAATTTCTTTTGTCCTAGGCGTGAAGGTGTCTACCTCCAGGTTATCCAGTGTTCAAATTTGTTAATTAATATTTGTTAAAAGTCCTTTTCACGCAGGTTAATGAAATATCGAAAAACTAGCCCAACTTGCATCAAAAAATAAAACACAATAGCCTGTTTCAGGCGTTCAGATCGTGGGAAGGACGCAAAATACAGCGTAAGCTCCGGCTAGGGTGCATTTCTTCGAATTTTCATTATTTCCATCATTTGAACCTTATAAATAACTAAGAGTTCATTGAGTGAGTTTGGGATGCCTGTACCTGTGATGTCGATCAAGGATAGTGTTTCAAGCTTTTATTATCATAATTATTATACTCATCATCGGTCATTATCATTGTCATTCTCATCATCTTCATTATTATTATTGTTATTATTGTTGTTATTACTATTATTTCTTGTTTTAGTGGTTCTGTTGTTCAAAACAGGTATCATAACGTTCGACTCAAACGCGGCTTTACACAACACCTTTAACAACCTTACTTACCAGACAGAGAAAGCACTAAAAACTCTGGTAGGCAATAAGTTCAAGAAAATTGCAAGTAAATGGGGGACCCGCATCGACAAAGCGGAGAAAATAGCTCGTGATAAATTGTTTACCCGCGCGAGGGGTGACAGACCTGAAGCCACAAATGTGATGTTGATATTTACGGACGGAAGACCGACTGGATACAAAGAACCTGATTTCACACCGTTCGGGCCACTTACGGTTGGCCTAGAGGTAAAATATTGACATCAGTTTTAAGCTTCCTACCTACCATTCCCCTAATGTACCTAACGTTAATACTGAAAAGTAGGAACCCGTTAATTATTACTCTGAAAGGAAACGAAACACAGTTCGAGTTAGCAGTGGTTCGAGTTAGGACGGACCATTAGAAAACTTTTTTTTGGGCGGGGGGGGGCGAAGTATTCATGCACGCCAATTAATCCTAAAAAATATTCATGCTATGGACTAAAAAAAATTCATACAAGGAATTTGATAGCGAAAAAAAATTCCTGCGGCTCGAAAATTCCCCTCCCCCCATAACTTTTGTAATGGTCGGTCCCTTATCGGGGTCGATTGAATGTCAAATTTGCCGTATGCATTTTTTATTGAAATAATTTATTAAATAATTAATAGTTACTGATTTTTCAGCACTTCAGTGTATAGTACAGTGCAAATTTAACTCGATCATTTCATCAGAAGCGGTAACATGATTATGCTTGTACGGCCAATTATCAAAATTTGTGCTAGTTAAGTACGGGGTTACCGATTATACAGCAAGAAGAGCTAATGAAATGGCATCCGAGTGGAGTTACAAGAACCAGAATTCGAGTTATCGCGGTAAATTTCAGTGAAATTTTAATCAAGGGAAAGAAAATTTAGTTCGAGTTAGCGAGGAATTTCGATGAAATAAAAGTGTCTGAAAATTGGGGTGAAATCCAGGCAAATGCATAGGGCATAGGAGTTAGTTCGAGTTAGCAGGGAGTTCGAGCAATCGGGGATCAGTTTAATTTGCTGTTTTATGATTTCCTACAAGTTATTACACAGGCCGAGCGCAAGCTCGAAATATGAGCATCGGCGAACATCAGCATTGTTCCGTAACATTCGAAATATAAGGATTTGTATGGGGGGAAAACCTATCGTTTCTGCAACCTACGAAAACGAAAGGATTTCAATAAAAAACAGCTTACCTTACAAAAATTTGTGTTACGTCTCTCCTGTGTGGTCCATGGGCCGATTTATGGCCGTGTTATGGGTTGTACTGTAAACGATTTGATCCAGGTCTACAACTGGGAGCTCCGGCACCACCCAACGGTTTGTCGCCGTGGACTTGCTGATATTTTATATTTTGGCTTCTACTGTAGTGCCTTCAAGGGAAAATGTTGGATCAATTAGGGGACGAGTATAGGTGGAAAGTTTCCTAAAAAATAGCTCAGTCTCAAATGTCAAATAATAATGAAGGGGAGGAATTATGCATGGCAAAAGAACATTTTTAGAAATCGATCAAAACAAAATAAGCGGTCAATCGTCATTTCCAATTGACATAATTAAAATAATGTTGTAATGACTTAAGTGTCATTTTAGCTTCACTTTGGGACAATAAGAAATAACTACGTTATGGATAATTATTGACAGGCCAAATAACTACTAATTACTTAACACACCCCCACCCTACCCCCACCCCCTACCCAACCCAGGCCGGAACGGCTGTTAAACAGTGCAACGGTTTTGATAATACAATTTTAATCGGGAAAAAGGTCTTCAGTCTTGTGTAAATGTTAGAGCCCAATTCTGATCAAAACCTAGAGAGGACAGTTTTCTTCACTTGATTATAATCATTTCTTTTCTAGAGGAGAGGTGTTAAAATCGTAGCAGTTGGAATAGGAAGAAACATCAACAGAAAAAACCTGGCTACTATTGCTGGTACTAAGGGTACTGTAATTGTCATCAAAAATTTTCGACGCCTCCTAGCTAAGCTTAACGAAATCCTGGACACCGTATGTGGTAGGTGCAAGCTCTTTCAACAAAAGTAAATTTTAGGAGACTGTTGAGACGTTTTATTATCAGTTCTTAACACTATCTATAGTATCCTGATCAATAACTTGAAAGTTAAAACCGCACTAAAATTAATTACACTAACTATAGTGGGACTTTTGAATGCTGAAATCATTACGGTTACCCTAGGCCTAAATATAGATACTTTTCATTCAAAAAATTTATTTTTCTTATTATTTCCTTTATCTGAGACCGTGTTTGTTGCGCGAAAAAGTCAAAGGTTCATAAAAAACATAACTGCTAAACAACAGAGAGATTAAAAAGCTTTATTCAACTGGAGTAGTCTCTCAAAAATGGTGAAAAATTCCGAGAACATACAGTGCATATTATATAGAACAAGGACATGTTATAGCGATTGCTAATTTCTTTTTTCAAAACCTTTTAAGTTTATGCGAAAAAAAATTTCACTTTTGAGCCTGGGCTACCTGTGAAGATAATAAGTAACTTTTTCTAAAATTCTCCTTTTATAGCTATTGACGGCGGCTACACCGATTGGTCAGCTTCAAAGTGCACTGTTACCTGTGGAGGAGGAACAAAGACATTAACAAGAACCTGTACCAATCCACCCCCGTCCAACGGCGGAAAAAACTGCAGTGGACTGGGCCCCGCCTCAATAACAGAGGAGTGCAACATGAATACATGCCGTACGTTTTTGTTTATTTTTGCACCTTAAAAATAGAAAATAACCCTCTAGGAAATTCCTACCAACTTGAGAAGTTAAAGAGGGCAGGTTCTTAACCGTGTCGTTTTTCATTTATTTGTTTATTTAATTTGCATTTCTCCGATTTTGCAGTTATTGTATTTCTCATTTTTTTAGCAATTGACGGTGGTTACACCGATTGGTCAGCTTCAAAATGCAGTGTTACCTGTGGAGGAGGAACACAGATATTAACAAGAACCTGTACCAATCCCCCTCCTTCAAACGGCGGAAAAAACTGCAGTGGACTGGGACCAGCTAAAACGACACAAGGGTGTAGCACGCAAGAATGTCGTGAGTTTATTCGTCTTTTTAAAAATAAGCAATCTTAATAAATGAAATAAATAAATAAGTGATGCTTATAATAATGTAATGATAATAATTATAAACATAGTTTGAAGGAGTTAATCAACCCTTCGCTCACTAAATCGGTCCCCTTTTGAAAGTTATGGAAACTTCAAATAATATTTTTGTTTACCCAATTAAGAAAATCTAAGTCTTTTCCGTCAAGTTTATGAGCATGGTTCTTAAGAATGCCATGCGCGTCTTTGTACGGAGATAGGTACATTTTTAAGCCAGGGAATGAGCAAATTCGTTTTTGTAGATAACGTTAAGACATGAATTACAGGCAGGTGAAATCAATTATTTCTTGGCTTTTACCAATTGAGACTTTTTCTCCTTTTTGGAAGAAATATTAATAATGATCCTTACTTTGCTAAAATTTTCATTCTTACACAGCACCGCCGTGTACAGCAGGACTCGATGTTGGGATCGTTCTGGATAAATCAAACAGTGTAAAGATAAAAAATCTAAAAATCGTCATCGAATTCTTGAAAAACCTCATTAAAAAGTTCAATCCTGCGCCAGCCGCTGACCACTTCGGTTTGATTACGTTCCACAACAAGGCGATCATGGAATTTAACTTTGCACGAGCCGAGTTTCATGACAGAGAAGCTCTGTTAAAGAGAATCGCCGACGAGCCTCTTAAGTTGGAATACCAAACCCGGACTGACCTTGCTTTACAAATGGCGAGGGATGAGTTGTTCAGCACGGCAGGAGGAGATAGGCCAGATAAACCAAATGTCATGATTGTATTAACTGATGGTAAGCCGACTAAGCTGAGCCAAAAGGAGTTTAAAGAGTTTGCGGAGAGGGTCTCCAAAGATTTAAAGGTTGGTATAGTATGATATTACGTACTTTTCGTCATCATAATTCGAATTATCTTATTAGACGATGAAAGGAAAAGTTTTTGGAATTTTTCCTGATTTGTTAGTAGTTCAGGATGTACCGGTTAGGCCGTGTTTTCAAGTGGAATCTCACTAGTGTGCAATGGAATTCATAAACGCCGATGATGTCATACCAATGTTGCCTCAAGCCTCTGTTTCAAAGCGAGGCTAAGTACGAAAATGACTCTTTTTTCTCATGCAAATAAACTCATTTTCACAACAAACGTTTTCCACTTAGCCTCGTTTTGAAAGCGAGAGTTTTTAGGACTCAGAATCGAAATGGCCTATTTGAATAAAATTCGGTGGGATCACATTAAGATAATGTAACGTGCTTAATCAAAAGTAAAAAACAAACAGCGGTGATAACCATTGTGAACTTGGGCATTTTTATGTCAACTTGAATTTTCGTATGGTGATTATCGTACATCTTAAAAAAAGACCGTTACAAATTATGAAAAAAAACATATCAATACAAAAGTGATAAGGGGTCTGTTACTTAGATGCTTTTCACTGCTGATGTTTCTTAAAAGATCTTCAATAAACAATGTTTCTTTGTTAATATTTGACGGTGATAATTGGATTTGCCGGCGACGCTGAAATTTCAAAATGACCCCACTTATAAAAGCCAAGTCTAACGAGCGCAGTTGTTTCCATAAAATTCAACAGGAGAAACACGTGAACACTGTTGCTGTTGGAATTGGTGATCGCGTAAATAAGGAAATTCTTCAGCAAATTGCAGGAGAAGGGAATCCTACGGTTGAGGTGAAAGACTTCTCGCAGTTGCAAAAGATGATTGAAACAATCAAGGCATCCGCTTGCTCAGGTGTGTGTTGTTAACAGATTTATAGCAAGGGAGACTTGTTTCGAATCCATGGTTATCGTTTTAATTATCTAGGTTAACGTGCTATTGCACATCTCAAAGTGCTATGGCATAGAATTTCCTCACCTCCACCCCCTAAATTAAACTTGGAAACAGGTCCCCCCTCTCTTCCTCACTCTCTTTATCGGAACAAGAATTAAATTGTTTTCTCACTTACTGTATATTTTTCTTATTTTGAATACACCGGTATCAATAGGTTTCAGGTCTTTCATCCTCTCCAGGGGCTGCTAGGGTGCGGGCGGGGAAATTGGCACGAAGAAAAGTTCTTTAGACTTTGTGCCATTTTCCCCTGTTTAGGAAAAATGGGGGGTCTCCTCGGATGTCTCTGCTGCTAAGTGCTTGCGGATTTTTTTTCTTTCGATTTAGGCAACCAAAATCAATCTTAATTTCACTGAAGGGGGCCCTCTAGATTCGAATAATCGCCATCTTAATATAACCCCTTTTACTCAGCGTTGTATAACTAAAATACTTGAAAACACTCTTCGCTAAGATACGCAGCTAAATTTGAAAAGGCTGATCAATTGCAGTCCGTGCTGGCCAGTGAAAGAAGAAAGGGAAATCTGTTGACAAGCCCGACGTCATAGAGTGTCATTAAGTTACATTATGGGGGGTTAAGTTGACACTGAAAAACCCAAGCGTTGAAAGATGCCTTTTTTTAAATTCATCCAACGTTTCTCAAAAGTCCCTTAACTTTTCTGGCCCAGGAAGCTGATTTATTTTTGCCATGTTTGAAAATAATATAATGAAACTATCAGTTAACGAAACTAAATTGACTGGTTTGTGAGCCAGGACTTGTGCTACTTTTCAACAAGTTATGATTTTAAAATTTTCCCTCTGGCCTGAAAAGTCACCGGTCTTTTCAAGAAACGGGTCCGTGGATAGAGGAAAAAGAGGGAAGCTTGACAGGTGACGTTACATCCGAAATCGCCGAGGACGACTGGGAACGAGACTGGGAGAATATACATGAAAGGGCTTAGTCCTCAATTTTCGTTTGGAATCGCCACAAAAATTACTTAACCATTAACCTTCCGACCAAAATTATAAGCACCCCTGGGGCGTGGTCGGGCTTGGTAAAGATTGAAAATCGGCCTATTATGTTTGTGTAATTCCTATACTTGTTAGGTCTTTGCAGTTAGTTGTGAATGTGTTTAAAATACTTAGTCGAGCGTGAAACCTTTATACGCGTCGTTTAGGGAAGAGTTTTTTTTTACAAGGAAGTTTTTAGAAGTTTGATAACTTCAACTCTGCTTTTTTGACAGAATGATGCAAGACCATCAACAAAGCTTTTTCTTATTGGGGATGTGTGTACAGGGGAAACAGACGAGAAATTTGGTAGAACCAACTGCTAGATATGGAGTAATTTTTGGTTATTTGATGTCAACATCAAAAAGAAATAAATGGGAACTGATTTAATTTTTGTGTTGGTTTAATTCTTAAGGTCAAGGCATGCTCACTCCCCCCACAATATATTGCTCGAGTAAGGTAAAGGAAAAAAATAATGATTGTCTGCATAAAAAATAACAAATACAGCCTCCTCCAAATCGACGCGCTTCGAGAGATCGCGCGAGACAAGGCATTGACTAGAAACGAAAGTAACTCCGCCACCCTTTGCGCAGATATGCCTTTTTTGGATTGTACACGTTCGTATTTTGAACAATTTTTTAGCTCCTTGAAGTTAAAATAAATGGATTGATTGGTTAATTCAAGAGATATTAGTCACTGGAACTGTGATTTGGCCACACACATTTGCCACTTTTTTCAATAGGACACAATGGAATAAAGATGTGCCTGTTGTCCTCATCCGCCTTCACGACCCTCTTTTTTGAGCCTTTTGGGTGATTCAATGTTCCCTTCAGCCCACTTCCCTCTAACGTCACCTTTTACGTTGCTGGCCCCGGAACTGTCAAACTTGTGTAGCTATTTCGAGGAAAATTACCCTGGGTGCCAGAGGCTTTTCATGAACGGTTTCCGGTTTCGGTCAAGTATTAAAAAGTGACCCGTGCGTTTTTTCTCGCGGCTTCGCCGCTCGTGTCTTCGGCCTTCGGCCGAACACGTGTCGGTCTGCGGCCGACGAAACAAAGCTCCCCGACGCACGCGAGAAAAAACCTCTGGTATCCACGGTAGAGGAAAATTGGCCTCCTCTTTAGAAGCCGAGCATTAGCCCGACAATAAAGATATGAGGAAATAAAAGATAACAAAAATAGCCAACCAACCAACCAAACAAACAAAAACACTTAGCATTTGCCTACTCTGGCCGGCCAAGTAGGTCATGTTGACGTGATCTTACACAATTTTTATACACGCAGGATACGACCACAACATATTTATACATTAACTTTGCAACAACAAACGGGTAGTTTGTACCACGAAAAATTTTGATCATACTGTAGTAAAATAAAGAAAATACAGGAACTATCTCGTCCAGTTTTTGGTTGCTGTAGAGTTTCTCCCGTCACACATTGCTAAAGTGAGGCAACTGACAGAGCAAGAGTACCATGGCCTCATGCAAAGCAACAGGAGGGGTCTCGTTTTTCCCAAAAAACGAACAGTTCTACTTCTTTGCTAGCTTTTCTTTGTTTTCTTGGTTCCAGCTCCAAAAAAGCTCGATAATGACTTCATTCCTTTTTTGTCCACCTTTGATAATGACTTCTGTGCAGCTGTTAACTTTTTACTAGTCTGCAATAAAACACGTGAAGGGGGGATTAACATCATTAAATTTTTGAAATGATGGCCAAATTTGCGTGAGACAAAACTATGTCTTGCAAGCCTCTCCTCACATTTTTATCAACTTTTCTGCGAACACTCGTGTTTTTTGTGAACAAGGACAGCCCCGTAGCCAAAGCAAAATATTTACTCACGGTAGGTGGAAGCACCAATACCTCTGAAAACTAAAGGTATGGCTTAACTACAGAATACAGGGCAAATTTTCTAGGCATATTCGTTGGGGTGGCTCGGTGGCTCGGTAGTCCCGACTAACGAGCCACCGAGCCGTCGAGCCACTAAACTATATAACCTCGACTGAAGAGTCACCGAGCCACCGAGCCACCGAGCCACTAAAATATATACCTATAATCTGCTATAATACATACTAAAGTATATGCCTTCTATGTCTGTCTTATACTTATATGTCTTATATCTTTCTCGTTCTTTAAACACTTGTCGTGACTAGGGAGCCACCGAGCCACTTCTGTTTAAGACCTTAAAATATGGCCCTGTATTCTGTAGTGGTATTGCTAAGACGAAACTACGCCTAGCTTACAAGTTCTTCTTCATAATCGTTACTGTCAATGCATGAGTTTTCTATAAACAAGGACAGGCCCGTAGCCAAACCAAACTAACTACACGGTAGATAGGTTTAACAATGCATCTGAAAAAACTAAAGGTATTGAGGCATACTGACAGCGGTTCGTTCAGTGAGTTACAACTCCACTCAACCCAAAATTACCTTGCCCGAAGTTATGTTGCGCGAGCCCAGAGTTGTGTTTCCCAAAATGTAACCATGCTAAGACTATTAAACTTTGGAAAGGAACCAGCACGGAAAGCTGATGACTGAATAGCCTTGTAGGGCAACAGCTTCAAAGTATTATTATGGACAAGCTAACGTTGGGCATGACCTACTTTGAATGTCAATTTTGTGTGTGACACGCCTTGCTACACGGGCATAGTAAGTTAGAATGCCATAAAAAGAAAATAAAATAGAACCTTGTTATTTTCTTTCTTAGAAGTCAACTTGCTGAATTCTTTGGAATAATCTTCCGTGGCCTCTGGAATCTCATCAGTAACTTTGGCTCTCTAATAGAAAAAAAAGGGCAATGGAACAAATATTGATTTATTTATTTACTGTTCATTTACTTATTTACAAACTTTGTCAAAAGACCTGGAACACTCCAAAATAATATATTACAATTATACAACAAGATACAGTATCCACCCTGATGAGGAACAAATGGGGCTTAGAGTTATTTTACCAATGTCAATCTGTCAAAATATGGTGCAAACAAAGCCTGGATTGGACCGGATCTATCCAACAAGAGGTTAAGGGTAGGGTTAGAAGTGCTGGTGCGATCCGATCCAACCCAGGTAAAAATGTGAGGCGGGATCCCGCCAATCCCACCTGGGATCCCAGGTTAATCCCAGGTGGGATCCCGCCAGAAATAGGCGGGATCCCTCCTGGGATCCCACCCGGGATTATGGAACGTCCCGGGAGGCATCCCACCTGGGATCCCAACTAGGATCCCACCAATCCCACGCGGGATCCCGCCTGAAATCCCGGGTGGGATCAAAGATATCCCACCTGTGATATCAGATGGGATATCCTACCTTTCCTGGCAGCATCGAATGCAGGTTGTTAATTTAAATTGATGGGATCCTGCTATCCCACCCTGTCATACACAGGAAATTGATATTTATCGTAGAGGGATTTGAAGACATATAACTTCTGCACCATATTTTTAGCTTAATCTGCAAATTTATTAGGAAAATAGAGTTAATATACATGTAAGTCTTGAATAAAATGCAACTTTAATAAGTCTACATATACAATATTCAGTCATTGCAGAACATTCAAATATGTGTCAGTGTCTCCTGAAATTTCTTCATGCACATCATACACAGCCTTTAATTAGAGTTCAAACAGAAATTACATAAAATTGACATAGTCTTTTTTGCAGGTAGGTTTTGATCTGCTCAAGCAAATGTAGTGTTTAAAATACCCTCGTAAAAATCACCAGAATAGTAAAAATAGTATACACATATGAATGAGAATATCTTTTACATTGGTAAGAAATGGGTTTTGACACGAAAAATTGAAAACTATAGCAATATAATACCACGAACACACAACACAAATGCAGTATTTTCATGGAGCAGTTTCATCGAAACCCCAAGTTAAAGTTTGCTTAATTTGCTTATCGTGTAGACTTTTGGCTGATGTCGTGCTCTTCAGTGCCATACACTTTTTTTTTGACTGCAACGAATAAGTATCTGCAAACAGAAAAGTTGAGATTTTAAGGCAAATGAACACAAAAACAACCTGACGTTTTAGAATTGAAACGAACGAGCACAGGCAGACCACCCTCTGTTAGTTGGGGCCGTTGTTGATTGAAATCTGAGCGACGATCTTTTGTTATTTATAGAAGAAATACATAAGAACAATACGGTGGCTATAATTTGTTCTAAAATGCAGAATTTAAAGCAAATGTTTCAATAAAAGTTTGAGGAAAATGTTAACTGAGTCATGTGTCATGTTTTTTCGCCGTCCCGTGCTGTTTTAAGCGCTATTTTGCGTGAATATTTGACCCCGGGGTGTTAAGCCGAGGTCAAATATTCATCTCGCAAAATAACGCTTAAAACAGCACGGGACGGCGAAAAAACATGACACATGACTCAGTTAACATTTTCCTCAAACTTTTATTGAAACATTTGCTTTAAATTCTGCATTTTGGAACAAATTATAGCCACCGTATTGTTCTTATGTATTTCTTCTATAAATAACAAAAGATCGTCGCTCAGATTTCAATCAACAACGGCCCCCACTAACAGAGGGTGGTCTGCCTGTGATCCAACTTGTTCAGGTACGCGAAAAGGGGAGACAACACGGGTAAATCGAAACTCAAATTGAGAAAAACATCACTTACCAACGTTAGGAATACTTTTTGTTGAACCTGGCAGGAAAACGACTTTAAATTGAAGTAAAAAGAAGCGTCTCCTTGTAAAGACGCATGCTTTACTGTCAGTTCGTCTTCTTTGACTTGAAAGTGCCCGCGTGGAATCAGCCAATTTTCACACCTTTTCATTGGTTGAAAAGGCCCATGTGACGATAAAACGCTGAATACGCATGTGTTGAACTCACGGGCTTCCCTGGGAACTAGTGGAAACAAAATGGCTGACAAACACCGAGTACTGCAGCTGGCGTTTCGCAGTTTTCACCATGAATTTCTATTCAGGAGTCATCCATAATCAAGACGAAGGATCGAAGCTAATATAAAAGAAGAAAATGATGCATGGAGGTATCATTTCAAGTGAAGAAACTCTAGGGGAAAGCTAGAAAGGAAAGTTAAGTCAGGAATGATGGATGTAGCGATTCATTAATGCTTTACAAAAATCTTCTCACTAAGAAACTATCTGCAAGCACAAAAAAAATCGTAGTAAATGATTTTTAAGTTTTTTAGTTTTAAACACTGCTTTTTACGTTGGAAGTATGCTTTTTGTGTGTTTGTATAAAATAAATATTGTTTTGTTGAAAGTTATTTTTACATGTATGTACAGGACAATTTATGAACGATGGTGTCATTTTCTGCTTATAAAAAAACATTTGTAATTTAATACAATAAGTTGTCCTTTGAAATTAAATTGGGTACAGGAAGACGATAAATTCCAGCCGTATTTTTAACTCCACATGCAGAAATGTAGAATAATAAGTTAATTAGACTGCTTGCTAAGATATGTTTAACACAGAATTATATATAACCTACATGGCTGTTAAAAGTCTTCTTAATTAAGTTTGACTTAACTTTTGCAAGTATGAATAAATCTTCTAAAATCCCAGGTGGGATCGTACATGTGAAATTACCCCAATGTTCCCAGGTGGGATGTATGTAAAGATCCTGGGTGACAATGTGTGATCCTGGGTGGGATATGTGAATCCCACCCAGGATCCCGGGTGGGATGTGTGGATCCCACCCAGGATCCCAGGTGGGATGCGAAAATCCCGTGTTTTAGGCGGGATCCCAGGTGGGAATGGCGGGATCCCGCCATTAGAGGCGGGATCCCGCTAATCCCACCCGGGATCCCAGGTGGGATTAGCAGGATCCCACCAGGATCCCGCCTGACTTTTTACCTGGGAACCAAGGCTTTGTCGGCCGCCGTCAAAATATCAACTAGGATGTGGGGATACTGTAGTTGTCCCTATTGCAGTTACATTCTGGAACAAGCACTAAACACTGAACTCTCACCTTTGTAGGAGGTGCCTCAGGGGAGGAGAGTTGAGCATCATCTGTAATACTAAAACAACACAATCAGGAATTAACTAAGCTTAAGGACTGATACTTGATGCTTTTGTATGTACAAAACACATAGTACAAAATATTATTACCACAGAAGAGGCTTTGTGCTAAATATAATTTATGCACTAAAGCAGAGCTTGAAAAACACTTAAATTCAAGCTGGTCTTTTGGGCAAACAGCTCCACATTTTGGTTCACCTGGGCCACTTTTTATGTGTCTCAGTTAATGATTTTGTGAGAGTCAGGATGTTTGGCCTGAACCCTAAGCTTTGGGCAAGTAAGCTTTTAAAGTTGCTCGCTCAGCAAGAAAATGTACTTGTCCCCGACTACTGGAATGGATGGGACTTTTTTAAAGCCCTGTCATGAGAAATAGTTCAGATGCCAGCATATGAATGCCCTGAAGCAGTTGCCATCTGTCTGCTGTTAAATAATCTGCTTAACATGCATTATTTTTTAGTGCTTTTCAGGTGAGCAAGGGCATGCATGAAGCGAGGGAGGAGTGCCAGACATGCAACAGGAAAAGGTGCAGGAAAAATGTGTTATGTCTGGCACTCCTAGCTCAACTTGAGTTGCCTTCGTTCGCCTGAAAAACACAAAAAAACGCCTGTTATGCAGGCCAGTTGTTAAGAAATTAAAGATGGTCACAGGAAAGGTTCATTTTTGATGGTCTGACTGAAATTGAAACCTATCACTGCAGAATGTCACTTGACTGGTCGATCAATCAATCACATTACTAAGACAAATACTGGTAAAAGCTCGAAGTAACCAGCGGCTTCTTTTACAGTGTCTGTAAACATTTCCTTACCTTAAAGACTCTTTAAGACTTTCACTCCATTGCAAAGATAGATAGTCAGACACTAAACCAAAGGCATATCTAACATAGTCGCCTGAAAACAAAATTATTAAATAATAAATTTCAGTGTGCAAAGAAAGTAGTGTCCGATAGCCTGGGGCTAGTGGATTTTGCTATCGCGCTAGTGAATTCTGTTTTTAAATTGCCCAACGGGCAAGTGATATTTTTTGAGGAATTCAAATAACAGAAGAATTGTTAATCAATTCTGCTAGTCAAAACGTTTTGGGGGCTAGTTGAAATGACGTCTGGGCTAGTAAATGCTAGCTTCAGCTTGCCCGAATGACAAGCTGTAAAAGTGATTTTACTTGGAACCCTGCAAATACTTAATTATGTGCTTCAAACTTTATTATTTTTGTCTATTTATTGTACTTTGCAATATTCATTTTAATTAACCTAATATCACACTTAGCTTAGTACCATGATCAGGGATTAACACTTATGCAGAGCAGGAGAGGTAGCTTCTGCACACTTTACACCATAGTCACTTAAGTTTACCATGTTTGCAAAACCAAGGTCAGTAAGTACATGTCAAGTTGGCAAGTTCTGTGAGGAAGGCATCATAGCTCAGAGGGTTTAATTTGAGGATGTGTAAATGTAGGTGTCAATAGGAAACTAAAGCATTAGGGTGTTTTAGAGCTGGGCATGTCAACCAGAGATGAGGCCTTATTCCTTTTAATATACCCCAATGCTACCAAATTTGTATTGCTAAGTATCATTACTGTTATAGAGACAACTTGCCTGAAAATTTGGGCAAAACCACTAGCTAAGAATACAAAAGTCCCCTTCCAGTTAGTTCACATGCATTGTTTAAAAATCTCTCTGCTATAAATAAGCACATTAGATCATATACCCATGTATTTTGCGTTATTTAAATAATAAAGTTATGTTAAGTTATGTAGCTACCTAATAAAGGTCCTGTCACTGGAACCCTAACCCTAATCCTGGCAGCTTCAATTGTACCATTACCTGCACCAGCAAATCAAACCCCACAAAAAGAGCTTAATATTCAGCCATCATCATTAATGAACGGTACCTCTTGATGCATCAGAATGTCTTTTGCTTCGTACAAACGTTGCACTTTGTGAACCCTTAGATACATGAACACCACTTGATGACACACAATCAGCAGTCTGTTCAACCTGACATGGAAATTAACAAGAAAAGTTGTTCTCCATAGATTGGCTCACGTAATTACATGTACTAATAGCCTAAGAAAACAGCAGCCAATTTACGATGCCATCACTGGTTTCCTCCATGAAATGATGTCTGAGGAGACAGTGCAGAAATTCCATGCAAGTGACGCTACAATACCCAAATGTGGGCAGTGCTTCTGATTGGATAAAGCAAATTTTCAACCAATAAGCACATCCAGATCTGGGTATAGACCCTTCATCAGAGTTTCTGGTGTCTGGTTGCTATGTTTCTAGTTTCTGAATTCCTTTCAGGGCTTTTAACAATTTAAGGGACAGGAAGCAGGGATTTTGAGCACTGGCTACTAAGGAGAAAAACATGATATGTTGTCAAAGTGTGAAAATGTCAAATCCATACCTCTTTTATCCCATTTCCCATCCTATTTCAAAATTTAGTGACAGTCAGACTTAAACAAAGCCACTTTCCATGTGCTGGGTTCCCTTGTGTGACATTATTAAGACAAAGACAGTCAACTGATCTGCCAGGTGATCTATTAGTAATTCAACATCTTAGTATACCTTTGTCTTTAACCATGCAATTGTCTTGTCATTATTGAGCCTGTAAACTTGGAGATCATCATCTCCCTTGACATCACAGATATTGAGGAGCTCATCAGGGGATATACAGCCAGTCAGTGTACCAATAGATGGGTGTTTTTCATCAACAAGTAACTGCTCCAGAGTAGTAAACTAAAAATCACATGAAAAAAGTATAATATGGTAGGCATGTTGTTTACAAAGTTGTACAATGTTAGGGTATGATGAAAAAAAAAATCGCTTGCACCTAGGGCAGGCTGTTGCTTAAAGTACAGTACTATTGTACTATTTGCTTAAAGTACAGTACAGCTATTTGTGGAGCCAGGACACTTGTAAAAGTATTCTTTAGAAAATTTATGATAAAGTCTTGAAGTCAGTACTAGCCCAGAGCAGCTGTGCAGGCCTACCAACCCCATTTGTTTTTAACATTTATGTACACATTTTTATGTACTTTACCTTGGTAAATGCTGCTTGCCCGTAGGACAACTCACAATTAAAAAATGGCAACCCAGAGGTTTGCTCTAGTAGTCCCAGGCTAATGGACAGTACTTTTGTTGCACCTTAAATGTATAATTATGTTGTGGTTCTATATTATTCTGAGTGTGAATTTCATTTCCTTTGTTACAGTCTTATTATCATTTACCATACCAAAGACAAAAGAAAATAATTTTAATGAAGACGACTCAGAAATCTATGGCACAACTGCAAAATAATGATGTCTGCCTAGTTTGTCTCTCAAACAATCAGTTAAGGTGTACCACTGTACACTGTGAAATTTAAGCTAGTGTGAAACAGTTTAACACTGTTGCTGCTGTTGTTGTTCAGTAAGTTGCAAGTTGTAGAAAAAAACAACATCGAATGGCCCTTTCTCTGACGGCATTCAGTGTCAGATCATATATTTTGTTAAACATTTTCTTGTTGAACAAGAGTTGTAACATTTGTCGTTCAAAAATTGTTGTCACTGCAGGGTGTAAAGAAAGTCAGTTTTACAGCCTGTCATTCGGGTAAGCTGCAGCTGGCATGTACCAGCCCACAAGTCATTTTAGCTAGCCCCAAAACCCTTTTTGATTAGCAGGATTGATTACAATCCTTCTGTAATTTGAATTTCCCCAAAAAACAGCACTTGCCTGTCGGGCAAGTTAAGAGCAAAAATCACTAGCCCTATAGCAAAATCAACAAGCCCCGGGCTATCGGACACGATATTCTTTGCATGCTGCACTGCCTTTAAGGCTTATCTTACCTTCTGTGAAAATTTGGTGAGGTATGGTAAAATGAGGAAAAGCGGATCTATAGGTGTTATGACATGGAGACTTCCATCTAAAAAAGAAAATAATAATGTCAGAGTGCATTTGGACAATGCAATGCATCTCTTTGATGTTAACTCAGTTGAATGGCATTTAACTGCAACTGAAGACACTGAGACTACACCGTGAGTTTTCTGGTACATTGCACTTGCCTTTCTGGATAGAATCTTCTACAAACCATGATCTTGGTTCTTCTTTAAAGCGCAGTACTTCAAAGACCTTATCTCCACTGTGAGATAGAAGAAACTGCAATTCTTTACCTTAAAAAAGGAACAGACGAAGTTATAAAGTCTCATATTTATGTGAAAGATGACTTCACTGAAATGAGTGTCACAATTGTTGAAGCATTACATTAGGAGCAAAACTATTTATAACTTCCACTGCAAATACAGTGATTGTATGCACTAGTAACCCTCCAGGCAACAACGCATTACTTATTGTTGCTGTTGTTTTTTTGGTGTGTGTTTTGTCTTTACATTCTGAATGCTCACAAAACTACATTTTTGTTTATGTTTTTTTGTTGTTCTTATTTTATCAATTAAAACTAAGCAAAGAAAAAGCAAGAAAGATTATGTTCTACTGTGTTAATAATTTGCAAATGAGAAGTTTTGTTAAAAGCACCACCCCTGAAAACATGTACATTATTTTTGTATTAAGTGCCACACTGACTAGGCAAAAGATTTAATAAGACAAGGAGTACTCTACAGATTAGATACCAGCACATATAATAAATAAACATGGAATCTCGAGCGCTTAATGGCAGTACACCGGCAAATAGACCGGACAAAAAAATTCGCACAGCCTCAGCAAACAAATCACAAGGTTTAACTGCACACCTCAATAAGGGTAAACTAATCTTTAATCACCTGTTTTTGGATGTGGAATCTTTATGAAAACTGATTCTGTATCTTCACCTTCTGGAGCACAAACAGCATTTTCTGTACAATGAAACACGGGCCAATTTACTTTTTATATCACACTGCTTAACATGTAATACACCTTAAGCTGACTGATAAACAGTATAAAAAAGCCTCTTTCCAAGACTTTGGGGAAGAAAATTTGATCATTGAAATTTATATTAGTTATCCATGACAGCTTCCAAGCTTAGTCTTTCTTGGATTACACAGGGAGTGGAATATTACCGTAAATCTTCTTTATTTCAGATATCTTGCTATTATAGACAGTTTTCGTTGTCCTTAAGATGGGAACTTTCTTTATTCCTCCATTCCAAAGGCTTATTTAAACCCTCAACATTTATTTACTTTTTCCTTATTTTTTTAAAATTGTACCGTTATATTAAAAGGCTTCTTTTGCAAAATAATTATTATAGTATACAAAAAACTGTAAAATCAAGAAATTGAGAAATGTGAAATAAGTTGTCTTGTACACCTATAAAACAAACATGTCTCTATAATACAGATTCTTTAGCATCTGTATTAACAAAGATTCACTATGGATTTTGCATAAACACCCATAATTTTCATGGGCAGATACAGGAATTTTTCATTAGAGGGGTCCAAACCTATATTGATTGTTTAGCTTGTTGACAACTACCCTTTTTTGGTCATTACACATTATTTTCTGGTGAACATGCAACCAATCAGGGATATTAAAACCAGTTTTAATGCACTCAGTCATAAGATTTTTAACTGAAATTCCTGTTCTGATGGGTGCATTTAGAGAGATCAAGACAAACTGGAATCTCCCACTGGATCTACCACTGATTTTGTGCACGGTTATTCAATAAACTCTTCCCCTCTCCCTGGGATTTTGATGTATCTGCATCATATAACAGCTGAGAAACTATGCCTTTAGAGATCAATGACCTTTTGAAGGATTGAATAGAAGGGGAGGGGAGGGACAGGTACATGCTACTGTAGATGCTTCAGCTTTCAAGCTGTTTAGCTTGGATCGAGTTGAACAAATCTTTTAATCTTTTCCTTAGGCCATTTAAGCACCCGGATTTGGTTGTTCTCATGTATTTTTCCAAGAGTGTGATATGTAATAAAGTTAAAGTTAAAGCTATGGAGCATGGAGCCCTTGATTGTCTGTACAAGGGGTAAAATTTTCGCTTACCCCATATATTCATTTTGCATACATGCGACAATCTCATGCACTCTTTCAAAGTCCAAACATATAAGCTTATGCATAATAAATGTATGGGGCTGTGCGGAAATCTTACCGAAATTTTGCCCCAACTAATCCTGTTACTGCTTCACCCTCAAGCTGGATATAAGTTTCCTGTAGATTAGACATCGAGCAGTCCCTCTTTTGCTCGAAAATCTGTGAGCGAGAGCGGTATATTAATACTCACACATAGATTGCAATCACTCACAGATTTTTGAGCAAAAGCGAGACTGCTCGCAGTCTAGATTTAGCTCCGATTTTTCTAAGTTTAAAAGCACAATACTTTGCGAAACCTTTGTATGCATGACCGGCATGCATGTTTGATCAGTGAAAAGAAGACATCGTCTAAATGCGTATCAAAGCGGCATTTTTTACCTGGAGCAATAAAAATCCATTGGTTCACTTCTTTGTGCCTTTCAGTATCATTCTGTTGATTTCTAGGCATTATTTTCCAAAAATTTTTGTCCTGTCTTGATGCAGTGCTGTATAGTAAAGTTAGCGCGCGAAAACCTGTATATGGTGAATCCGCTGATCACTCCACTCACGGCTCAAAATTGCAACCCAGGCTGACAAGAGTCTTCTGAGAGTTAACCTGAGATCAGGCTGTATTTTCGTTTCAGCGGTAGCCGTTAGAGAGAATGTATGAGAACCGCTCAAATTAGGCCTGATCTCAGGTTATCTGAGAGTTTTTTCTTTTTTCATAAGCACGGGGTTATGGGCTCCTCATTTAATGTGGTGACACAGTCTCTTGCTGTACTTGGGCAGCCCATGCAAAATTTCACAGAACCATTGTTTAGACACATTTTAGTGCACCAGGAGCTCCTGAGAGCACTTGTTCCGGCCTCCCAGCCGCTTGAGTGACACTCAGGGTTTGCAACATGTCCTTTTCGGCTCCTCATTCAAACTTTTTTTCGGCTTATACTTTCCAGACTAATTGAATTTTGCAGAGCGTTTTCGTCATTACAAAATGATTACAACTGGCCGCTCGAGCTCGCACGTATGCTGACCAATGACTCAGTAACATAGCCCTCACGGTTAGTGTGGATGAGAGAGCAGCGAAAAAACGAGTGAGCGAAAAAACGGCGGAAAGAGAGAAGGGGAGAGCTCCACTTCTGGTTTTCAAGAAATTACGTCATCCCTGCTTTTTACTAACAGCGAAAGCAAATGAGCGAGAAATAATCACTGTTCTTTGCTCTCCCCAGGGCTCTACATCCACGACCGCGTAGTAGAGGTTTGCTTCGAGTCCCTAGTGGGGACCTTAAGATCTGCCGCCGACGACGGCAACGAGGACGACAAACAAGCAATAGGTTTAATAGTCAAAACAACAATTTTGCACGTGTATCACGCTTTTTTGTGCATTTTTTTGCCGCCACTGCACGACTACGACATGAAAATGCCTAGTTTCACGAGTACAGAAGAAGTACACAAGGGACGACCAAATTTCCTCTATTTTTCTGAACTTGGTTATGGTTCTTGGGAATTCAACTTTAGGAGGGTTCACTTACATTTGTCAAAATTAGTGACCTGGAGTAAACGCGATGAAGATTGAAAGAACGCGAATTCACTTTTTCTGTGTCGTTTACACTGCCGTCGCCGCCCTCGGATCTTAAAGTCCCTGTATTTTGCAACGGCGGACTGGGTTCAATTCTGTTGGCTCCGTGTCCAGAAATTCACTGATTTGACGCTTGTCGGACGTATTGACGAATCAACGGCGCGCCGTCTTTCTCTCCCGATCCATGAGCAAGAGGGAGGAGACAGGTGACATTTCAGATTGCGCCGCTGTTGGAAAAGAGTGGTTAGTGGGCGGAAACCCGATGATGGGGTCATTTTTTTACGGGCTGGGTCACGGGTAAAAGGTACTGATATCAACTAGCACGCAGGTCCTCTTTCATCCCCTGATACCGTGTTGATTCATCGTGGTGGATTTGAATAAAAATAGAATCCACGAGAACAAAGACAAATAGAAACAAAGAAAAGTCACCACAAAGTTATCCTTGAGCTAACTCATGCTTTTATTGCTTTAAAATATACTACAGGTTAATTTCCACTTCACAAACTCAAGGGAGAATGGGTGCAAGTTTCAGGTGAAGTGATTTCTGGTTGGTTTGGGTGGACAAGTGTTAGTTATGATATCCCTGTTCGGATAACTCAGTGTTGTACCCAATTCGAATCTCCCACGCGGGATGTTGGGAGAACACGAGAACACGTATTGTTTTGTATTATAATGTGGCATTCACATTTTAAATGATATGGAAATTCCACGCCGGTAAACAAGACGTTTTATTCTCAAAAACTATGACTTTACCGGCTTGAATTTTTAATACAACATTTAGTAATGACTCAGCGTTGTACCCAAATAGGTCTTCATTTTAAATGATGATATTCAAAACAAGGCAACTATCTTGGGCACCAATCATATTCAAACTATCTGAACCGAGGAGTGCACCCCCTCCTAAAAAAAATCCTGGATCCGCCCCTGCTTATCCACCCAAATGATCCGAGAAATCGTTGCGCCAAAAGCTTCTACACATTTCCCTAGTTTCTGGAATTGGGATTGCAAAAGAAGATATTATAATAGGCTTATGAAGTCAGCGTGGCAAGAACTGACCCCACCCTTGAGGGGATAAGTTTTCCATTAGAGGAGTCTGTAGAGGTTTGTTCGTGTTTGTACAAGGCCACGCTCATCAAATAAAGTTCATTGTCGACTGGGGCAGAGGGCGGAGTCTGGAAAACGCCGACCTAAAAATCAAGCAAATATCATGTAAGGCAAGTTAGATTTATAGTTTAAGGTATACAGTGTACTTATATTTACCGACAAGATAATTTAAAGGTAATAGAAGAATACAAACTTCTGGCTACACAGAAATAAGAACTTAAAACTCAAACTAAAAAAGAATAATTTTAAATCCTAAATAAATGAAGCCGGCATAGTTCTCGCGTAAAAAAGTTAACATTAAAAATAAGAAACAAACGAAAATGACTAGGCAAAAATGTTCAAGTATTCTATTTTCGCTCATTGGACTATTATTCATGACAGCACGCGAATTAATAAAAATGGTCGACTTCTGCGTTTGAAGTTATAACGTACCTTTCCAGTTAACCTTCGCAACCGCTTTCTCATAGCCAGATCCTTGCGGGCGCATAGAGCCCGTCTACACGGTCCAACGTCAGAAAACAACAACTGTCTTTCCCGCCTTTTTGCAGCAGCACCTGCCATTAGCGCCCCAATACTATTGTTAACTGGAGACCCCCTCACGCCCTCGACGTCAGTAGGCTCGACTGTCTCTGCCCCAGTGGGGTTTTCGTTTGCTGCCTTTGCGCACGCTTCCTGTACTAGTTTGGTTAGCCGCGGACCAGCAAGCGAGGAAGAGACTCCAATACGGGAGAACACGCTACCAGGAGTGAAACGCTTTAAGTGAGATCCAGGCTCGACTCCTACAAACCAGAGACAACAGAAAAACTGCATAGTACCAAAACGTGTGATGTACTGCATTGATACATAGTAATGTGTCTACCAGGATCCCATAACCCGAAGCGTGCAACTTTAATACTAAGCCAATGTTACACGACGGTTTATTTTTAGATACACTTTAGGGCACCTTTCCACCGAAAATGGAAGGTACATTCCACCCAAGAGCGTATTTAAAGTAGAGAATGTCAAAAAGGAAATTCAACTAAATGTGTAGTTTTGCTGACTGGTTTGTGGGACTTGAAAGATGTTCCAAAATCGCGCCAAAATCGCGCCAAAACTATACTGGTCGGTGAAAATTTCATGACACGAGTACATGGAAGTTGCTCGCTCCTGGTTGTGGCCTGCTGGTATACATGTATTTCTCAAACAAAGCCGGCCCGTGGACTGAATCATGTGTTAGCTGAAACGCAAAGTTGGGAATGAAAATGAACCTGAAATGAACTTAGAAAGCAAATTGCTGTTTACATTCTTCGATCTCGAATCATATTCAGAAGAACTAGACAATAATACGCACGACACAAAAGATGGCAAATTTTCATACCTGTTTTCTCCGTTGAGCCTTGGGTGGTGACCAAAGCACTCCAATCCACGTCCTCTACCGCCATAGGGGCACTAGCATGACCTGTAGCGCCAGAAATCCCAACACCACCCTCCTCATCTTCGTCTCCTAACATCGCATCAAGTTCATCATCGCTTATCGGATCATAAACATCGTCATAGGCAGGCACCGAATTTTCCACAGGCGAACCAACCTTGGTGGGTACATCCTCGCTGGCTTTCGGCTTGTTGTCGGCGATTTCCGCCGGCTCGTTTATATCCGACCAAGTGTCGTCCCCGATCGGGCTGTCGTCGCTCCAATCACTGAAAACCGCCACTTGCTCTTCGACTTTGGAAGAATCCTGTTTGCCGCCTGTATTTTCGCTAGTCAATTTTTCTCCATCATTTTCTCTATCCTTTTGCATCAGGGCAGCTTTATCACTCACTTGATCACTGTTCTCCAACTTGCCTGAGCTCGTGTCCTCGTCTTCACCTTCAAGGTCTGCCCACGGTTGAAAGACTACTTCGGGCTGATGTTTTTTCTTTTTCTTTTTCTTGGGCGGTTTATCGCTTCCTTTTCCTTTGGTTTCATCTCCTTCAGGAGCATCTCCATGCCTGCGTTTCTTTGCCAACTTACTAATGGTCTCTCCCTCCGACGGCTGAATCGCCTCTCCGATCTTTTCCGATGGAACGGCCCCGCCTTCCTCCGGGGCGTTCTTCGGTTCATCAGGTAATTCCGACACTACATCGGTTTCCTCTGCTGATGTTGTAGAGCTTTTCTTCTTCTTTTTTGTCGCCTTCTCCTTGGTTTTTACCTTATCTTTCTTGTGTTTTTTCTCGCTTTTAGGCTGTCTCTCACTTTCAATCTGAGCTTCGGTTTCCGGTACCGTTTCTTGGGTCATGTGACTTTCAACATTTCCTTCACCTTCGGATTTCACGATCTTCCCTTCCTTTTTCCCAGCCTTCTTCTTTTTTATTTTGGTAACTGCTTTGATAGGTGTCCCTGTTTCGGGCTTAGTTTGTTTGGTTGGTGTTTCTGTGGTGGGTTGGGCTTCGCCACTCTTGTCTCCTACTTCAGCTGCTTCCGGAACCGCTGTCTCTTCTGTCTCCGGCGTTTCACTTCGTCGTCGCTTCCCTGCTAATGGCGACTCCGTTGTAGACACAGACGACGTATTTTCTCTGGGTCGTTTTCTGTGATTAAAAAGCACATTGTCAACATAATTAACGTATTAAGAGGATATCCGTAAAGAAGCTCCCCCTAGTCTCCCACCCAGCCAATTTAGTCTCGTCACGCAACGATTTCTCCGTCACGAGACAAAAACGGCTGCGAGGGAGACTACCTCTTTACTGGTTCCACTGAACTGTGGGCTCTGTAATACACAATCTAACAGACTTCTAGCACTCGTCACGTTACCAGAAAATGCCTGCATTGCATCACAGCATGTTAGACTGGCGGATGACTCTTTCATTCCAGCTCCTGGCCCCAGCGGAATAAAATGCTGGCCCCTGTTGTTTAAAAGTTGGATAGCGTTATCCACCGGATAAATCACTATCCAACGGGATAAGTGTTAGGGAAACCAATTGCGCTATTCAGTGGATAGTGATTTATCTGGTGGATAGCGTTATCCATCTTTTGAACAACTGGGGCCAGGTCTGTTGTTCCCCTTTAAAGTTGTTTCACTGCAGGTAGCCTTTTTCTAACGGGTACTTTATACGAAAAGGTACTATGTAACAGGGTAAGGTGAGTCGCGCCAACGGAACGCAAGGGTAATACAAGGGGAGGTGGCTTAGTAAGTTGTCAGCCGTAATACTGTACTTCACATACCTTTCTCCTTGTTTTGGTATTCTTTCTTTGTCATCTCCAATATCTTCTTCATATTCCCACTCGTCCTCTTCATTCTCTGATCTACGTCTGCGATCTTCCTCCACTTCACGCGGTATTTTCTCCTGCTCATGCGCTCGCCGGTCACGTGGGGGGCTACTACCACGTCCTGGGCTTCCTACGAAATTGGCGAGTAAAAATTAAGTCATAAGTAGGTCTAGGACATTTTCGCTAAAACCCGTAGTAGAATGAGGCTGGCTATCGCGTTTTCCCGCCAAAATGATGCTTGTTAACCCGTGCACACTAGTTAGTATTGATAAAATCCGGTTCTCGTAGTCGCCCTTGTCTTAAGGTCGGTACACACCAGGCGACAAGTTGCAGCAACAAGTCGGGGTGACCAGATAACTCCATGTGTACAGGACCGGCGACTTCTTGCAGCAACACGTTGCGGCGCCACGTCGCAGCGACAAATCACTTCGTGTGTACTGGAGAATTTTTGTGAAAATCTTTGTCTCCGCAACAGAATCTTGTCTCTGCAACAAGTCGCAAAAAATCAAATCAGACTAAATTTGTGCGACTCGTTGAGGCGACAAAATTATGTTGCAGCGACAAAGATTTTCACAAAAATTCTCCACGACCACGAAGCGATTTGTCGCTGCAACGTGTCGTCGCGACATGTTGCTGCAACTTGTCGCCTGGTGTGTACCAACCTTTAGAATTTAAGAGACTCTCTTCTGATTCTCCCTTTAACACCTCTTAGTAAACAAAAAAAAGCATTTTATTTGAGTGTCAATGTATTTTGCACGAAAGTGCTAATTGGAGACCACCATTTTACGTGGTCATCCGAGCCACGCGTAGGTCCCGCCGTTTGCAGTGCAAAGGGAGTACCTTCATTTCTCAGTTATTTTAAGACTCTGAATATTGGTCCGGCCCCGCGAATCGAACTCACGACCTCCCGCTCTGCAGTCAAGCGCTCTACCGACTGAGCTAGTCCCGCCGCGCAGTGTTCTTGAATCAGATTTGTAAATAAGAGAAGACAATTTAAACATTTCAAATTGTTCATAACCTATACTGTTAAAAACCTACCGCCTCTCTTATCCTCCCAGTGTCTCTGTCCACGACCTGGAGACAGCTCACTTCTCGGACGTCTTTCTCTATCTCGTGATTCATCATGTGGTCGTCCCCGGTCACGTGGATGCTCTCTTTCACGGCGACGTTCAGGATCCCACGGTGCTCGGCTGTCGCGAGGAGGTTCTTGGAACCTGTCCCCTGGCGGACGCATTCTGTCGGGGAAGCCTCGGCCCGCTGTTCAAACAAATCACTTACTTTATTAAAGCGAACAAACAAATCGAAGTTCAAACGAAAAAAAAAACTTGCTTTGTTACCTTAACACGAGGAATGATAATCAAACTATATACTGCGTTTATATCTGCCTTTTAGCGACACAGTATCTCATAGAAATACATGCATGCTAAGTAATATGCGAGAAATTTTACAGTCTAACACTACATTAAGCTGTTTACTGTCCCCTATTTTTTCGTAAGTTCGTCGAGATCGAGCGCTTTGCGTTACGGGTGGCCATCTTGGTTTTAAATGTTCCGCGTTTAGCCTAGAGATGTGTGTCAAACCTACTTAAGGGGCGGAGGAGGGTTTGGGGGGAGGCCTTCCTCCCCCCACCGCTATAAACCCCAACGCCCACCCCCTCGGTACATACAAACCTAACATGGTCGCCTGACGATCTTAAGCAAAAATAGGGCACTGTTAACAGTCTTCACACTACGTTAAACAGCAGAAACCTTTATCGCTTAGGACGACCAAAGCACCACATGAAAGTTACTTTTTAAACTGTAACAAAAACATTTAGGTCTTTTTTGTTTTAAAGCACCTTGACGCTCCCAAACTTGTATTTCTTAGTGTCTTTACTATTATAGAGACGATTTGTCCAAAAATTGGGGCAAAATCACCATCAAAAAATGAAAAAAAGACCACTTCCGCTTGACGTGCGTCTTGTAACAGCACATTGACCCGGCCACACTTACCTCTGGCTCCCCTCCCACGGGGAGCTCCTCTGCCTCTATCCGCATACTGTCTAGGTGGGGGTGAATTTCGCCTTCGTCCGTCGTCCATTGGTCTACCACGGCTATCAAAAGGCGCTGAATATCCACCTCTTCCACGCATTGTCTCTCGTCCCATACCATAACCACCCTGATCTCTGGGAGGTCCCGGTCGGTAACCTTCATCTCTGCGACCGCCTGGGGATAAACTTCGCCGGCGCTCCATGTAACGATGCGGACCCCGTGGGGGGCCGTGTGGCGGGGGAGATCGTCGCGGGCCATGGGAGATGGGGGAAGTGCGTCTGTGATAGTCAGGTCCGGGAGGAGGATGACGACCATCTCTGTCACGTGGTCTCTCGCCAGGTCTTTCACGGGCGCGACTGAAAGATAAAGATTTGAAATAAGTATATTAGGGAAGAGCTCTATATGGAACGTGAAAAATCTACATCGCTTTAAAGAGTCCATCCTTAGAGTTTATAAAGAGAGAATCCATGTCATCCCACAAAACAAGGTGCTATGTAACCTGCGTGAAGACATACATACAGACACTTTTTACAGGTAGCCGTGACTACACCTGAAGGAGAATCATGAGGTTATCCCTATATAAAGATAACCTTACCCCAGCCCAGGAAAGGTTGGCCAAACCACAGGACTCTACGTCCCCTACTCTTTTCGAACAGTGGTGTGGGCCTTCAAATAAAGCGACCACCGAATCCCGAAAAACCTACTGGGGACTCTCAACTTACTTGTCAGGCATATCTTGCCGCGGGATGTCATTTCGCCGTCTATCCCGATCAAAAACTGTCCTTCTTTAGAATCTCTCTCCCCACGTCCTTCCCAGTGTCTGTCATCACCTTCAAACTGACGCCTGGGAATATCCCGACCGCGAGGCCTTTGCAATTCATCTTCGTAGTCGTCTCGACCTCTGCCTCGTTGATGCTCATCACCGCGTTCGTCTCTACGTCGATGGCGCTCGTCGTCTTTTTCCAGCTCTCGATTCCGTCCGCGAAAATGGCCTTCATCTCGTTCTTCCCTTCTACGAAGATAATCATCATCTCCCTCGGGTTTTCGTCGCTGGAACTCATCACCTCTTGGATCGTCGACCCGATTTCGGTGGTGATCATCGCTTCGTTCTGGTTCAGTTTCCCGTGGTCGATGAAAATCGTCAGCTCGGTCGTCCCGCGGGCGCCCGCGTTGATGGAAGTCTTCTTGACGGTCATCACGATGTCGTGCACGACCGATCTCCTCATCCTGAACTCGACTTCTAGGGAAGTCTTCCTCTGTTGGAGGATGTCCTCGGCCACCTCGAGACAACTCATCAGCTACCTCTTCACCCCTCGCCCTAGCGTACCTTGTGTCACGGTCAGCTCGATCTTTAGGCCTCGGCAAATCTTCGCGATAAGGCACAGACTCGGGCCGTCCCTCGTAAATCTCTTCACGTTTTTTGTCAAATCTTGCCCGCACCGGGGGAGTGGAAGGGTGAGGTGGCGTTTGGGGTCCCCTCCGCCTGGGTGGGGCTCGCTCACTCGTCAAATGTTTTTGTACATCAGTATCATATTCAGGCTCACCAGGGGGAGTTCGTGGCCCTCTTCTATCCTCCCTGGGAGGTGTTCGGCGCCTTCTTTGCTCTTCGGGTGGTGTAATCGGGCCCCGTGGGGGTATATCTTCGGGAGATGGGCTTCGCGGTGGCGGTTCCTCGACAATGACCTTTCTTCTCTCTACCCGTCCTTCCTCGACTTGACGCTGATCCTTGACCGCTGCTCTGCGGCCATGCTCCGGTGTTCCCCCCGGAGAGTCCTCTTGTCTATAACGCTTGTCATAACCCTTTGATTTAGCCTTGTAGTTCGATTCACCCGGAGGTCTGTTGCCATGAACATCATGCAAAGGTTTCCGAGGGCTTCCATCGGGGAGATCCGTAACCCTTCGCCTCTCCTCACTAGCGTAGCGAAAGGTTGGGGAATCAGCGGTTTCTGGAGAAGACAGAGCTATTCGTCGACGTAACTTTTCCGCAGGTTGTCTCTGTTCTTCGGGACTAAACGCCCTCTTGTCCCGCGGGATTTCCTCAGAAGGCAGCGGTCTCTGAGATCGCCGTACGACATCCGAGGGACTCTCGTACGCATCTTCACCGCTATTCACCTTAGGTTTGTTCTTCGACTGCTTCTTTTTTACTGCTCGTGATTTTTCCTCAACGACAACTTCAAACTCAGGCTGTTCTCTACTGATATTACTTTTTGATGGTTCGGGCGACAATTCTGTGATTTTTCGCGTCCTTTCCTCGCCAGTGTTAGCTTCCACGCCTTCAGCCGCTGCCTTGACGCCTTTCCTTTTCTTAAGCTCCTTTTCTGCTGGCGACAACTTGCGCTTGGTCTTTACTTTTTTCGCTTCGCCATCTACCTTCTTTTTCTTTTTCTTTGGTGTTGACTGCGAAGAGACTGGCGAGAACTCGTCCCCAGGTGACACGGACGACTTCTCGGGGTGGAGCTTGCTATGCACGACGGGAACGACAGGTTTAGCTTCTTCCTCTCTGTCTTTTTTTGGCTCTCTGATTTTCCTCTCAGCTTTTTCCCTCGCAGCTTCCTCTTCATCCATAAGCGCTAACTGTCGCTGGAGATCTTGTCTTCTCTTTTCTAAATTCAGCTGCCTCTCAAAGTCTAGCTCTCCTCTCTCTTCCCAGTCTAAAGCCTCATTTCTCTCCTCTTCAGAATCGTCGTCTCCCCAGTTTTTCTGTTCTTGCTCTGGGCTGTGGGACTTCGTAACGACAACACTCCCACTCAAGTGTCGCTTCTTTACTTTTTTCCTGCGTTTTTTACGTTCGTCTTCATTCTCCTCTTCGCCTGATTAAAGAAAACGACATTTCATTGGATCAAAACCTTTAACCAGTTTAGCTAGCTAAGATTAGGAGCATGAGGCAAAATCTGAAAGAAAGAAAAAATCCCTCGCCCTTGGCATTATACCCACAAAGAGGGGGAGGCGAAGTCTTCTATTTCCACAGTGAAAACTCGCAGGTTAAAAACTAAAGTAAAAATCGACCATTTTAGGGGAAGGAGGAAAAAATTTGGACCTCGCACTGCAATGAGGCAACTATAGAAGGCACAAATGGCTTACTAAATTAAGTTTCAAAACGGAGAGCATCTGCAAGGAAATCCTCTATAAATATGCGTACAAGATGTACAATGCACCTTCTGAAGATTGTTTCTCAACATGCTGTCTTCGCTTTAGCTTTTCACTTTTCTTGCCAGGGTCCACTGATTCTTCAAGTGGCCTGCTTTTCTTCCTTTTGATTGGAATCTCCTCCTCGTCCTCAGGCTCTAAGCTGTCCAAACTTCGAGTCCGACTGCCCAGACCTCCTTCATCTGAAAATCATAACATGCACCAAAACGTCAGAATTTAACAAAATGTCCAAATTTCACCTTGTAAACTGCTAAAACACAAGTAGCACCATGTGAGAGTACTGCTGGAGAGGTTTCAAAAGAATGGTCACACCAAAGGATTTCATCCACAGACTCAAAAGTTAGAACTACATACTAAATAAATAGTACCGTGTGAAAGTACTGCTGAAGAGGTTTCATTTGAATGGTCACACTGTAGGATTTCATCCACAGACTCAAAAGTTAGAACTACATACTAAATAAA